AAAAAAATTCTAGGGCTGGAGAGATGGCTCAGTGGTTAAGAGAATTGCCTGCTCTTCCAAAGGTCCTGAGTTCAATTTCCAGCAACCACATGGTGGCTTGCAACCATCTGTAATGAAGTCTGGTGCCCTCTTCTGGCCTGCAGGCATTCATGTAGACAGACTATTGTATACATAATAAATAAATAAATAAATATTTTTAAAAAAGAATTCTAATTACTTCTCCAGTGTCATCTTCCAAGGAAATACTTCTACTTCCTTCCCATTTATAAAACCTACTTGTACATCTCCACAGTTTCACAAGGAAATTTAAAACTTATACAATCTTCTGGGAGCATTAATCAATATAAGAAAAGAGCATGGTAGTCTGAAGACTGGAGTACAACTATAGTAACCTCTAGCTTAAATGGAATGGGGTTATCACAATGCCCTGGGGCCATTCTACCTGAAGAAGAATCCCTGTATTAATATGCGTGGATACAGCCTGTGGCTGTTACATTATCACTAATTTAAATTTAAAAGACTATCTGGTCATAATAGAGATATTTGTTAGAATATTTGGAACAAATTCACATTCAGCAATCTCTTCCAAAAAGGTTTCTTCCTTAGTCAAGTCACTATAGGAAAGAGACTCTGCAAAGAGATAAGATCTGATTTCTTAGTAACCCATAATATAAAAGAAAAATTCTGATCTACAATGATTGATAAAATCTGAGTTATAAATTGCCAAATATTTAGTAAGACCAATAATATTTAGAGCATTCTGAAGGAAAGAATATTCCCATTCTTCTCTCTAACACCCTGACATTTTTCTGCAAGACTCATTCCAACCAAGGAGCTCTGTGTACAAAGCCAGAAAACACAAAACTTTAGACTTCTGCGGTTGGCACTGTACCTCTTCAGAAGATAGCGTATGTTCTGCACTATTAGACTGTAGGTTGTAGTTAAGATCTGAATCAGTGTCAGAGAAAGTTGTAAGGATATTCATGGTTTCAATTATTTTATTTCATTTCAGTAAACTATGAATTGAATTACAAACTGAACAACAAAGTGAATACAGGAAAAGCACAATCATTTTTCAATATATGAACAGTATCTGAAAGGCTTCTGCTGCTGTTCTTTTGCCTTAGCTCTCTATAAGCTCCAGTGAAAACCTGCAATGTACTTAGGTAGACACTGAATTTTTTATGTCATAAATACCCATATAAACAAGCTCCATAATAAGTTGTCTGTTTTTCACTTGCAAACTAATGAAATAATCCAGCTATCCCAAAGATTATATGTATTTTTTCTAAAATAATCACTAAACAATGTTGTCTATCAATTGAGTAAATGATGAAATATACACAACACATATTTAGTTGTGTAAAAATTATCAAGGTATAAAGTCATTTATGATTATTGCATCATTGCAGAATGAGGACCTAATATATAGAACAGAAGAAATATACTTGGAGGAAATAAAAACTAGCATTTGGAGTTGCTGGATTTATCTCATTTCTATTGAAACTGAACAGTTTCAAATTGAAAACTGAACAGTTTTTCAAAGAACAGATCACTGGATGAAGTTGTTTAATGGATGCAATTGCCTAAGTCTCTCCTAGGTGAATTCAAGGAAATACTCTTTTTAATATGACTGAAGTAAGAGTGTTTGTAGATCACAGGGTGCCTACAAGTCATAATTGGATTGTGCTTGCTTCATTAAGAAAAATATATGGAAATATTAGAATAAAATATTGCCTCCAAATTTGACAGTTTTGTTGGATACTCTATAACCCAGATCTAGTACCACTTCAGAACAATAGGAAGAGATTATGTGTTTGTTGAAGGCGTAAATCACAAAACAATCCCACATCAGTTTGGAATCAGAATTAATAAAATGGTTATTTATTTAAAGGGAAAAAAAATTACAGATCACTGTACCAGGCCACAGCCCTCTGCGTGATCAGGAAAGGAGTCTTAGTAGCCGGAAGCAGAGCAGGAAAGAAGAGAGCGAGCATATGGCTACTGCTGTTTTCTAAAGCAAATGAGACCACGCTCAAGTGTGCTGGTATCTTAAAGGCTATTGGCTGAAGGAGCAGAAGGAGCTCCTGCAGCAGTTTGTCACCTAGGAAGTAAAAAGAAACATTTCTCAGTACCAAATATTAAAAGTAGAACAATAAGGAGAATTGGTGAAAAGTGGTTGAAGGCCTTAAAAAACAATAGAGATAAAGAGCTGTGGGTGTTGTCCTAAAAGACAACAGAAAAAAGAAATTTCGTTTTCTGCAATGAAGTGGACTCTGTTAAACAAACTTGAATAATTTTTTAGACAACAGATCTGGCACTTATACTTACCAAAAAAAAAAGTGGAAGACAAAAAGAACCTGAAAGATAAGATTAAGGAAAACATATAGATGATGCAGATAAAAAGAAGGATCCATCCTTTTGCTTCATATCAGAAACACACCTCTGTAATAGAGTTTGAAGTCAGGGATTGTGATGCCTCCAGAAGTTCATTTACTGTAAAGGATTGTTTTGGCTATCCTGGGAATTTTGCTTTTCCATATGAAGTTGAGTACTGTTCTTTCAAGGTCTGCCATACTGAACCTCATAGAAAAAAAAGTGGGAAGTACACTTGAATGCATTGGCACAGGAGACCACTTCCTAAATATAAACCCAGAAGCACAGACACTGAGAGAAACAATTAATAAATGGGACCTCCTGAAACTGAAAAGCATCTGTAAAGCAAAGGACACGGTAACAGACAAAATGACAGCCTACAGAATGAGAAAAGATCTTCATGAACCCCACATCAGACAAAGGTCTTATCTCCAAAATATACAAAGAACTCAAAAACATCAAAAGAACACATAATCCAATTTAAAAAAATGGAGTACAGACCTAAACAGAGAACTCTCAACAGAGGAATCTACAATCACTGAAAGACTCTTAAGGAAATGTTCAACATCCTTCATCATCGGAAAAATGAAATTAAATCAAATCTGAGATTCTGCCTTATACCTGTAAGAATGGACAAGATCAAAAACACCGATGATAACTTAAGCTAAAGAGGTTGTGAGGAAAAGGGAACACTTCTGCATTGCTGGTGGGAATGCAAGCTGATATAACCCTTTTGGATGTCAGTGTGGCAATTTCTCAGAAAATTAGGACGCAACCTTCCTCAAGACCCAATAATACCACTTTGGGTATATATCCAAAGGATGTTCAATCGTGTCACAAGGACATGTGCTCAACTATGTTCGTAACAGCATTGTTTGTCATAGCCAGAACCTGAAAACAACTTAAATGCCCCTTGACCAAAGAATGGATAAGGAAAATGTGGTACATTTACACAATGGAGTAGTACACAGTAGAAAAAATAAGTACATCTTGAATTTTGCAGGCAAATTAAAGGAGCTAGAAAACATCATATTGTTAGGTGAGGTAACCCAGACACAGAAAGACAATTATCACATGTACTCACTCATAGGTGATTTTTAAACATAAAACAAAGAAATCCAGTCTACAAACCATAATCTCAGAGAACTTAGACAAGAATGAGGACACTAAGAGAGACTTGCATAGATATAATCTTCGTGGAAAGTAGAAAAAGACAAGATCTCCTGAGTAAATTGGGAGCATGGGGACCTTGGTGGGGGGGTTGAAAGGGAGAGGGGAGAACCAGGGAGGGGAGCAAAGAAAAATGTAGAGCTCAAAAAAATCAATAAAATCTAACAAACAGACAAAAAAGAAACACACCTCAACTTCAAAGACAGACATTACCTCAGAGTAAAGGGTTGGGAAAAGATTTTACAATCAAATGAACCTAAGAAACAAGCTATCCTACTACCTAACAAATTAGACTTCAAACTACAAGTAATCAGAAGAGATGAAGAAAGATAGTTCATATTTTTCACAAGGAAATTCATAAAGATGAAGTCTCAATTCTGAACATCTATGTTCCAAATGCAAGGGTACCCACATTTGTAAAAGAAACATTACTAAAACATAAATCACATATCAAACCCTACACACTAATAGTGAAAAACTATGGTATTTTCTAAATACCTGCTGTTAAACTCTATACTACATTGCTATAAACTCTTTGATTATGGGTTATGATATTTTACCAATGGAACTATATACTTTCAAAGTGCCATGATCTCTTAAGGAGACAGACATTGTAAAATAATATGGCATTAAGTTTTCTAAGCTAAGAACATTTTTTGTTATTACTATACAATAATAGCAGCAAACATAGCAGCCACTACATACATTCATATGATTTTTTAATGTGAAAATCAGATTTGGTTATTTTTCTATGTATCTCCATTATTTGTTTGTATTTTTTGTATAAACCTTTCAATATGCCCTTTATCATTAATATTAAAAGAGCAATGTTCAGTTTTCAAAATCAACTGCATTTATTTAAGAAATATAAAAGACATTTCCATTAAATAAGTTTCCATTAAATAAAATAAATTATGCAACATAAATTTATAGTATGTGCAAAACAATTTTGTTAACAAAACTTAATGTACATTTTTCTAAAAATTCAGAAAATCTTAAAAATGTATGTTTCTAATGGGAATAATTCACTTAATAACTGTTTTTGCTCTACATAGTTATTGCCATTGAAGAGAACTTTCTGTTACAAAGTAATTTTTTTACCATTTACTTTTACTTATTTTGAAATTTTATTATTGACACTTTTTGAAAATTTTACTCAAGTGAACTATATTTACGTAATTTCCTCCTGCCCTTTCCTCCATCAAACTCCATTCTTGCCACCCCAGTTTCTCAAAAATTTCATGGCCTCCTATTATTTAGTTATTATTGTTTCATATGTATATTTGAATATTTAGTTATTTATAAATACAACTTGATGAGTTTATTTAGTGTTGCTTGTGTATATGTTATCTAGAGGTGACCACTTGAGAATGGGTACTTAATCAGGGTAACAGTCCTTAGAGAAGATTAATTCTCTTTCTTAGCAGCCATCATTTTATGACATTTCTTTCAATTCATTTCCTTTTTCTCGTCCAAAGTTTTCTCATGGCATTTTTCATCTCTGCATTTCTCAGAGTATATATGAGGGGGTTCAACATGGGGGTGATAACAGTATAGAAAACAGTCAATGATTTATCAATTGGTAAAGTAGAAGGAGGTCTCACATACATAAAAATACAGGGAACAAAGAAGAGGACTACCACAGTGATGTGGGAGCCACAGGTGGATAAGGCTTTGCGCCTCCCTTCCTGACTGAGAGTCTTCAGAGAGTGGAGAATGACCCCATAAGAAATTAGCAACAGCATAAAGATGACAACACAGATTGCCCCATCATTGGCAACAACCGTAAGGCCAATAACATAGGTGTCTGTGCAGGCCAGTTTTAATAAGGGGTACATATCACATATGAAGTGGTCAATGACATTAGAACCACAGAAAGGAAGGTTATATACAAAGAGAAGTTGGACAACAGCATGCACAAAACCCCCAACCCAGGCCAGCAGCAAGAGCAGAACACATACACGTTGGCTCATGATGGTCAGATAATGCAAGGGTTTGCAGATGGCCACGTACCTGTCATAGGCCATGACGACCAAGAGTAAAATCTCAGCACCACCAAATAAGTGTCCTATAAAAAGTTGTGTCATGCAAGCTTGGAAGGAAATAGTTTTTTTCTCATAAAGTAAGTCTATAAACATATTTGGTGTAACTGTGGTTGAATAAACAGCATCCATAAACGATAAGTAGCCAAGAAAGAAATACATGGGGGCATCTAAACTTGGGCTGACCACAACAGTCACAACAATGAGCAGGTTGCCTGCCATTGTCACAATGTAGATAACCAAGAACACAACAAATAATATTTTCTGCCCTTCAGGACTCTGAGTGAGACCCAATAGAACAAACTCAGTCACATTATTTCTTTGTTCCATATATATATATATTATACTTTGTTCCTTCTGTATATTTTCATGTCAGGAGTCAAACAAATTATTTGAAATTTTATCAATGACTTCTTGAATTTTTTAAAAATTGTTTATTTATTCTGAAAACAAGAAAATAGAGATCATGACTTACTTTATCATCGCACTTACAGATAAAACAAACAGGAGTTTCCAAATTCAGTTTTCTTACAGACTAATTGAAAAAAAAATACATATTAAATTTATGAGGGAAAAGAACAGATTGTTAAAGAAATGAGTGGAAACAACTAGACTTTACAACTACCAGATAAAATCAGACATAAATCTAGTATAATAAGAAAAAAAGTAATATGAATTAAATATAATATATAAGGTTAAAACAATATATAAAAGAAACATAAAAGAAACAAAAGTATGCAAGATAATAATGAAAGACAACAACATAAGGTATATTATTTTATAATTTCAAAAAGCAAATTATAAGCAAATGATTTTAATAAAAACTTTAATATTTAAAGTTCAATTAAAAGAAATATTATCAAATGTTTTAAAAAGTATTATAAGATACTAAAATTCACTCATTAGAAGAAAATGAAAAATAAGGGTACTAAAATTCAAATGTAAATCTGTACCTAACAGATCATCAACAAATTGCTTGTGTAGTTGAAAAGGATGTTTTTCTGTTCTGTAGTTCAATGCAAATTTTGCATTTTGGATAAAATTTGGCAATCTATATTGAATAAGAAAATACAAGTATTTATCATCTTACCAGTTCTAGTCTTTAATCTGTTCCAAAACATTAAAGTCACAGAACATGAGGACACAATCTGCTGTTTTATTTATGAGTAGAGAAAGCAAAAAACAAAATAGTAAAAAAATGAGAATAAATAAATAAAACACAATGTTGTAAAATTTATATGCATATATAAAATTTATATATATATGTATATATATATACTGTTGATGTAGGAAGACAGAAGGAACTTTACATTAAAGAATGAAACTAATAGGAAGAAATAATCAATAAAGAAAGACAGAGAGGGAGGGGAAGAGAGAAAAGAGGGGTGCAGGATTGATTTCATATACCAAGTTACCATACCATACATATGTACACATGCTATGGCATACATGAGGAGGTCAGAGGACAATTTGCAGGAGTCAGTTCTCCTTTTCAATCATGTATGTCCTGGTGGAGGATAAAACTCTAGTCATCAGGTTCCATGGCAGACACATTTACCAGTCCAACTCTTTAATACTCTCAAGAACACTAAATGTATTTTCCTCTCCATTTCCCTCATCATCAATCTTCTCCCTGTATTATATTATTCTGTCATCACACTTATGTAAGTCCAATTTAAAAAAGAATCTATCCTCTTGCCCTATATTACCTTTAAGGAAGCACCTACCTCTATTTTATATTCTTTGTATACTCCTCACTTCACTGAACCTGGTGGCTGATTTTGTTCTTCCTCTATTTATTTGTTGTCTTGCTATTTACACCAACTGAAGTAGCAGCAGGCTTAAAAATTATGCTAGTTTCTTTGATTCCCCTCATTCAATGACTGCAGTGTTACTTTATCCTCTAATGTTTAACATACTCAACAATGCTAAGAGAATGGCTTAGTTGAAACTATCAACTGATTGTTCAGTGGAAAATCCCTCAAGTAGTTGCTTTGGAAATTATTTGTTAAGAACAGTAATCAGGAAAACATATTTCAGATTTTTATAGTGCTAAGACATTCAAAAGCATTACAGTTTTATATGGATCCATACAGATTTTAATAGTCATAATGGACCCATAGTGGTAACGATCATCACCACCTCACAGAAAAAATTTTTAAAAGACCCTTACAAATAAATATATATCCTTAATTACCTATGAAGGGCATATTTATTCAGCTCAAATTCAGAAGTGTGATTCCTGATTTCTGGTCCAGAATGATGACAACTTCACACATTGATTCCACTTCTTAAGAGAACAGAATGACACAGTGCTAATCTGAATTTTGAAATGCTTCCAGCTAAACAATTCTCTTCATGCTTGCAAGAATTCAGACTGAACAGTCATTCAGAAAAAAAATGAAATATTACTTTTTAACCTTGTTAGGATCTCTCAACTGAATATTTAGAACATCTTATAATTGCAAAACTTTGGTATTGATTTGCAACACAGAAATCTGAAATCTTTCTTTTTTCAAAATTTCTTGAAATAGTAAATAAATATTAAATATACATGCTGAGGATACACACGTAAATTTTGTTGGAGACCATAAATTATAAAAATAATTGTAATTATGTTTTATACAAAAATTAAAATAATGAAATAACCTTTGAAACACTGGGGTCTTAGGTATATTAGCCTGTAGATGCAGTTGAACTTAGGTTGCCTGAAGTGTAGAAATAGTCTTAATCTATATTCCTTCATTCTTATTTGAGTTTATCATTTCTGATTTTGAAAGCCCAGCTCCATAAATACTGATAGAGACAAACATTCTAAGGGAAGAGCAAAGTCTGTGGATATTTTATATAACACACCATGACAAACTATCCTACATTGGTAATTTTCCTCTAATTAGATTCACTGGGACCTTATTTGTAATTATGAAGTTAGGCTATGCATCTCCTCAGATACCCTCAAGGACAACCACTATAGACTTATAGAAACATAATCTTTGAGAAAAATATCATGAGTGAACAACTTGAGGACAAATTACCAAATAACAATGTCCAATCTTGGCCAATAAAAAGAATGTATAAAATTTCATGTATGGAAATCACTGTGAGTGTATTATTTAACTTATTCTTTACCAGTTGATAATTAATCTCACAGACAAAACATGAGGAATATTAATTTCAAACTGGTTACCAAAGGCTTAATTCAAATGTAGATATGTTCCTTAAGGGAAAAAGTTCAAGTTTATATAGCTTTAGAGAACAGTTGGCAGACTGTGTTTTAGTACATGGGTGGAGAAAGAGAAAACAAGAAGGAGACTATGTCTTTGAGATACCTCAGAAAATAGTAACTAGTCATGAATCTATAACATATACTGATACATATTTCAAAGAATTTCTCTCAATCAAAATAAATATCAGTAGGAATTCAATTGTAAATTGATAGCAAAATTAAGACTAAAATTTAACCAATTGTTTACAAATATAGCAATATAATCTGTACATCTCCCCTGAAATATACTTCTTGAATGAAAATTTCTACAAAGAAAAGTAAAGTGCACATAGTAGTGCATATAATGATAGTGTGTATATAGTCATATTTAGTAGTATCCACTATATTGTTTACTTTCTTTCAAGTCTACTAGTTTTATTGGTATAAAACTTAAAATTAGTAGTTTCATGTATTTCAAGTATACTACTGATATTTGGTTAAATGTATACACAATAAAGTGATCATGATAAATAAGTCAATAATACACTTATCTTTCAGGTGATTGATTATTTCTTTGAGGCATTTTATGCTTTGAAAAATTAAGATCTATTTGTCCTGATTTTCATAATTACAAACAGTTATCATGTTATTGACTACTGTTTTAGTCAGGGTTCTCCAGAGAAACAGAATGGATTGAATGAATATAATATAAGGAGATTGGATTGATTTATAGGCTGTCATCCAGGTGGTCCAACAATAGCGATATTTTAATGTAAAGTACAGAATCTGATAGTTGTTCAGTCCCCAGAGTTAGGTATCTCCGCTGATCTTCAGTATATGTAAAATCCCAAAGAAAGTGTTTCTAATGCTATTGATGGAATGCCTCATTTATATGACAGATGAACTTGCCAGCAAGCGTAAGAGCAAGCAGGCTAAAAAGCAGAAGCTTCCTTTTTTAATATTCTTTAATGAAAGGAAGACAAGAGGGTATGACTGAGGTTTAGTGTAGGACTTCTTATCCCAATAATCCAATCTTAAAAAATCCTTCACAGGTATGCTCAACAGCTTGGGTTTTAGTTGATGTCAGATGTAGTCATGATGGCCACTAAGATTAGCCATCATAGTTATAATGTAGAATCATTGTTGCTAAGTATTACTATTAAAGCCTTTCACATTGTTCTTTATGTTCTATGCTTTGACAAGCATTGTGCTCTGCTCCTATAAGTCTAGAAAACCTCCCATACAAATGAAATAATGCATTATCTGCCATTTTGGGCCTGAGATATGAGATATGATTTAGTTTAACATTATAAATTTTAATAATTGCCTATGTATCTTTCCTCCTTAAAGCTGATTATTGTGTTATTTTATATCACATTGTCCTTATTCATTCCTGGAGGACAAGAAATTTCAGAGTTTATATATTCAGATTGTTAAAAATAACACAACAGTGAACATGAACATAGTTCTTTAAAATATGTTGTTTTATTTATCTAAATTAACAGTAGTAGGAATTTTTGATAACGGATATTTTTATTTTTATATGCTTTCTTACATGAAAGTTTACATACACGTGGAAGTAGCTGTCCACAGAGTCCAGATAAGGGAGCTGCGACATTGGAAATAGGAACCGAACTTGGCTCATCTCCATCATTTCTTTTCTTTTCCAAACTTATTTCTTTTCTTTTCCAAACTTATTTACATAATAACTCTTGAGTCATTATCTCCAAGAAGAATGTAGAATGATTTTTGTTCCACACATCAAGAACATCCATTTTATTTTGATTTGATTTATGCAATTTATGTATTATTTTGGAGTTTTATTCTGTTTATAAAGGGTCTACAATGGAACTTTAATTGGTTTTGAATTGGTGACACAATTGTTTCAGTCTCCCAAGTTCTAGGCTGATGCCACCAAGCCTAGACCTTCTGCCTTTTGACAGCAACTATTCTAACAGATGTTACATGACATCTACTTTCAGCTATTATTTTCATTTCCCTGATGATTAGTAACACAGTGAAACATTTAGTGGATACTTTGGCTGTTTGCTAGTTTCCTAATAATGTATTTTGAAAATGAATACACTGGAATTTTGTAATGTATTTGGTTTTGTTGTTGTTAGGT